CCGTGACCTAAAGTGTGTTTTGGATTTTGGCCCCCTGTGCAATTGAGTTTGACACCCCTGAACTAAAGCAACCAGAAAGGTGTAACAGCTTAAACAAAAGAGGTTTTAAAAGGCTTAAGAATTCCAATGAATCCTCCCATTTTTCAAACATGCCGTAACTTTCACTAGGGGAAGACACTACTACAATTTGTCCTGTACTAAATGAAGCATAAGGAGTGTCTCATACAGAGGAAAAATAGCTCCAAAGCTGTGACCTAGACAGTAGAATAATACCTAGGATATTGCTGTAGTTTTGGGATATGAAACCTAGGAGTCTAATAAGTAGAGTGTACATGATGGGACCATTTTCTGGGTAGACTCTGCAGGTTCAGTATTCAAACACCAGTGAAATTCATCTGGCCACCCAGGATTGCTACTGCCTTCAGCTTCGTGCTCAGCCAGATGGACAGAAGTTCCGTGGGGGCTGGAGCGCCTGGTCAGAATTAGTGTGTGTTGACGTCCCACCTGGTGCAGGTAAGCAACATCAGTGGTGGGTACTGGGGAGAAGTTGCTAGTTGTGGAGAGAAAACAGTTGACAAATGAAACAAGGACTGCTGAGCCTCAGGAAAAAAGAGCCACAAACTCACCACCCTATGCTTCTGCTTTAGATTCCGTGATTATGATTGTGGCCATTGCACTCTTGCTGTGTGCAGGACTTGTGCTGGGACTGGGATTCACCTGCCTCTCTAATTACAGGTAACTGAATTCTGTGCAGCTCAGCCATTGAACAAAAAACACACTTTAGGATATGTGTTATGTTATCCTTTTGAGATCATCTTTGTTTTTTTGTTAGTAGTAGTGTGAAACAAAAGCTCTGGCCACCTATTCCAGACTTACACCATGTCCTGGATGGATTCTTCAAGGATAATGGCAAGCAACAGCAGCAGCAGGTGAGGCTTTCTTTTCAAGGTTTACAGACAACTCATGGTTAAGAACAGAGCCTACTGTAGCAAAATCTGAGTTAAATACACAATGATTCAAGTTCATTACAAAATACTACTTATATGGTATTATACAGTAATACTGTTCTGGCTTACGTACAAATTCAACTTAAGCACAGACCTTGGAAACAGAACTTGTTCTTAAACTAGGAACTACCTGTATAGTAATTCTAATGCAGGAAATCAGTAGAAGCAGAACTGGGTCATTTTTTTAAACTAGAAAAGAAGGTGGGTATTCGTGTTCTTTTTAATTTCTTCCAATATACTTTTTGTGGGAAAGTTGCATCATTCTGTGGGCATATTTTCCAGGTTTCAGGAATAATATGAGCAAAGCCATTTTTCATCTGTCTTTTCCATGATGCAGACTTTTTCAGTTCCATTCTAGTTCTGTGATGTATGTGATGATGGAGACAGTATTATGTACAGAACTAAAATGATGTAATGTTAACTTGTACCAAGAACTCTCCCATGCTCCCTTGTTCAGATTACATGCTAAAACCCTGGGTGGAACTGTTCATGATTTTCAGGTCTTCGTAGTTGGAATACACTGCTCATTCATTGTTATGTGGTCTTTTACATTGTTATTTCATGCAGACTCCTGTAAAGTGAATGTCAGAGAGGGATGGAATAATCCAGAGGCCCTTCTGAATTTCTGTTTCTCTCTGAACTTTTAGGTAAATGCTTTATTTTGCAACAAAATGTTGGAGGATGTGCCTTTGACTTCCTTGTTGGAAGTTCTATCTGAGATACCCCTGGAAGCACCAAGCTTTGATCCTCTTCTAGATACAATTTCAGTGGAACAGGCAGAATGGGGCAGCCAGCCTTCTTCCCACCAGCACTACATGGTGCTGAGTTCTAACAATCCCCAAGGCAGCCACCATGAAAATGAATACTTTGATGACACAAATGATGATGGAAATGCTTTCCCACAGTCCTTGGAACATGATCTACACATAATGTCAGAGCCAATGATCCAAATAACATCCTTTGCCATGTTGAATGTACCATCAGAGATTAAAGAAGAAAGAAGACAGGAAAATTCTGAGGACCAAGCCACATCTGTCACTGACATTTCAAACCAGACATATTTGCTAATGGGCTGATTGTGTCTGCCATTAGGGGACTACACAATGAGAAATTATTAGGTCCTGTGATGTTTGTAATGCAATACAAGCAATTTTGAATTGTAGGGCACCTGTTGAGCCATTATTCCCCCAGTCTGTTTCTTGTAGACCTACTGGCTTTAGCAGCTGATTGTATTAGAGCAGAGTTGGACAATTTTTCATGGCCAAAAGCTGCCCTTAATTTTTGGAAGGCAATGATGCAAAGCAGCTAAAGGTGTACAGCATTTCACAGGATTTTTTTTTTCCTGATTTGAAGGGGAAGAGACTTACACTACAATTTTTATGTGTTTCTCATTTCAAAATGACAGGGAATCATACTGCCAAATTCTGGTAGTTGTGGTCAAAGGGAACTCTGATTGCCGCAAAAGGATTTGAGGATCTGTGGCCTCAGATTGCGCACCCAGGCACTAGACTATGAGGTAGAATGTGGAACTTTACCCCAAGACATGCCCACATTGCATCTGGTAATCACAGATTTCCAAATGCAAAGTGATTCTTACAAAGTTGTGTTCCAGTGATTTATATGACAACCTAAAGTAAAACAAGCTCTTCTAAATACTTTCTCCATTTTGGAGAAATAGGATCAACTACCTTCTTGCAAAGTAAGCAAATGCTGAAAGAATTGCAGGAATAAAACTGCTTAGCATAACCAGAAGCAGCTGAACGGTAAATGTACCATGCTGAGCACAAAAATACAAACAGCAATTTGTGAGATAAGCATCACTCTATGGTGGGTCACTGTAAAGTTCATATCTGTCTGTTGCACTCATTTTAAATCACACAAATTACTACTGACCTGTACAGATTAGGATTCACTGTTACTATTTGCATTGCCATGGCTGCTTGTAAACACAAATGTAATGTTATTTGAATAATGCAGCTGCTGTAGTTCACAGCAGTTAAATGACCTTTTTTTTTTCATGGGGATCAAATTTAGGTGTTCACACAGTACTGATTAACCTTTGAAAATTCTTTTTGCTTTAAAAACAGAAGGATGATAATGACCCAACATTTAACTGAATAAGACAGTAATCTAAACGGAGTAAAGGAAAAGCAAATTCTGCTGGCTTAATTTAGCCAGGGCAAGAGGCATGTTCTTTCTGTTCTGATGCTGCCCCTGTAGCAGGCAAATTAACTGTATGAGCTGCAATTCAACAGTTAACGGGGACCAATTCCTGGGCTCCTCAGAAGTCCTTTGGATCCAACTGATACAAGGCCTCAGATGGTCTTACTTAAGATCTATGGGTGGAAATTCCACAGAAAGGTCCAGAGCAAAGGGTATTTCTAACTGAAGGAAGCAGATGGAGAACTAAATCAGTGTTGCAGTTGATGGGATGACCGCAGCCACCTGATGTGTGTGAAGGAAGCAAGACTCTTCTGATGGGGAAAATATAAACAGCAGCTACAATTTTAAGGTGACACTGTATATATCACTTTTATAATAAAATGTCAGCAAAAGAGTTGGAGATGCCAGTTCCAATGCCAGCTAGAGAATTGGAGATGTACTGAATTTAAATGTACTCTCTTCTCACTGGACCAGGTTGGAGCAAGGAAGGAAAAGAAACTGGGATCTGAGGCAGTGTAGAATAAGTACCTCTCATTTTCCTTGTATGTTTCCTATTTAGATAAATATATTCTGTGAGGCCAACCATTAGAAGAATGGCAATTATATCTAGCGTAATAACAAATGTAGATAAGCACAGCAAATTTCCCCAATGGAATAGTTGTCCCAGAAATATTGAAAATGCATTTTGCAAAATGCGTATAAGAGTAGGTGAAGGATTAAACGTATTAAGAAAAGCACACAAGTAGAACATGGAGGATTTTTGCAAGAGTATTCAGAATGAGATGGAAAAAAAAAAAAAAGGAGCACATACAGCAGGTAATGTTCACTTGCTCATCTGTAGTTGGTGAACTACAACCTTCAGCATCTCTCACTATTGACCCTGCTAGCAGGACCACCTGAAAATAATTCAGCAACATCTGAAGGATTGGAGGATCCTGACCTGCCTCATTGGACTTTTAGTTTGGACCCATTTTTTAAATGGCTGAGTTCAAATTGCATTTGCTAAACAGCTTCTTTACTACCTATTTCGGTCTTTCTTGTAAATAGAGAGTAAATAGAGATCAATAGCAATTTGATCACCAATAAAGAATTGAACAAACTGACCTTCTGTATTAAATCTATTACAGGTGTGACAAAAGTAATCCAGTCCATTTTAGGATGCTATCTTGTCCCTGGGAAAACTGAAAGGCTCTGGCCTTGTAGGTTTAATACAACTGGATTAAGGCCGTAGGCCCACAACTAAATGCACGTAAAGTCCATTGAATGCAGAGGGGCTTACCACCCAGAAGATATGTAGCATCGTATGGTATAATGCCTTATGAAAACTAGCCTAGTTTGTTTGCATAAATCTTTACTTTAGAACACTCTTTTCTGGTCATATAATCTTTCCTCCGATTTTACCACCTGAATGCCTAGCAGAAAAGTTTACATCAATTTAGGCTTAGCAATCATAAAAAGGCTAATATCCCAAAGTAATTTCTTGCAGCTTCTGTCTGGCCTGCCTCTCCCTAAGTATCGAGCCAAAGCCGTTTGCTTAGAACGTTGAACTTAGAACATTTTAATTATAGCGTCAAATGCCATGGAACCGTCCCCCCCCCCCCGTGCCGAACATTGTCAGAAATTCCCTGCACGCCCCTCCCACTGTTACGACAATGTAAATCACAAGGAACCCTCCAAGTTACCCCCTAGGAAACTTTTTGATAGTAAAGCCACACCCACCTACCATAGAAGGACCAATGAGAGTAAAGTGAGGCAGGCGGGCCGTAAGTCATCCGGCGGACGTTAAGTTCGAAATGGCCAATAGTTGATCAAAGTGGCAAGTTTAAATCCTGAATGGCGGAAGGAGCCGGAAAAGTTGGAGTCAGAGCAGTGGTAAGTAAGAGGTTTTGCCGACCCGAGCTTTTGAGGATCCTAAAAGCATTTTTGTTTCTCTTCCGGTTCTCGATCTCTTCCCGTCCTCTAGGTTTTCTGCCCAATATTTCTTGTGACATATTCCGCTGCGGTGCACGAGGTCTTCCTCCCCCCTCAGTGCCAGAAACAGACCCAGAAATTGTATGAGGAAGAACGCGTGCTGCTTTGAACCAGCAAACGTATTGCAATAAGAGAAAATAGTGCTTAATCTCCAGGAGATAAGCCGTTAAGTACAAAGAAAGCTCCACCCTATTGAGCTATTTTTGCTCAGATTGTGGGGTTGAATGCTTTTGCGCAAGGGAAAAAGCCCCTCGCGGGTAGAACACAATACTGCAGAGAAGGGGGTGGTCTTTTCTTGCCACGAGGTAACTTTTGCTTGCTAGGACTGCATTCAGTCACTTGACTCTAGCCCTTAATCTGGTTTGTTATTTTGGAATGAGGAGGAGGGGTGTGAACCTACAGTCATCCTGTGGATGCAGTTGTGTCCATTTTCCTCTTCTGCTTGTCTACTGTCCTTCCTTATCTGTAGATCAACTCTACTTCTCTTCCCTGGCTCTGGTTACACAGCACTGCGTCCCTATGGCCCAGTTTCTGTTTGAGAGTGATTTGCACGGGCTGTTGAAACTCGATGCCCCGATACCAAATGTACCCCCTGCCCGATGGCAGCGTAAGGCTAAGGATGGTGCTGCTGTAAACACTGGAACTGCCTCAGATTCCACAGCTCCTTCACCCATGAAGCCAGCTAACAGGCCTCATAGTATCAGCAAGACTCCCTCCAAAACACCAGGTAAGATGTCTTTTGCAACCAGGGGGAGGATAAACATCACTATATGGGAGGAAGTCAGACATTAACTGCCAACTCTTTGTGCTCTATTTCTCCAATTCATTTTCCAGTGTTGGAGATCTATTGTTTGTCTCAGTGACACTGTGAGATCGTAATAAAAGAACCTTGTTCTCAAGCTAGCAATTACCTGAGGGAATACAGATTAATGAAATCTCTATGTTTTGCAGGCAAGGCCGGTTCCAAATCACAAAATACCCCAAACAAAACTGGAGGTGATAGATACATTCCTAATCGTAGTGCTATGCAAATGGATGTGGCCAATTTTCTTTTAACCAAAGAGGAGTCCTCTGAGGAGACACCCACCAAGAAGGTGAAGAGTTTAAGTGTGTGTATATGTGATATTCAAGTTCTTGGAATCAAGAGCTGTTCTCATGCTAACCATATAGTAGTGATATAGGGGCTCTTTTTTTAAGAATTATAGATTGACAGAAGAGATCAGTAGATGTAAAGGAAGGGCTTAGACAAAGCAAGTCTTGTAGTGCTTTTAATGCTTGACAACTGTAACATGCAAGTCCTTCTATACATACTAAGTTAAAAATGAAATGTCTAGCATACATCCCTACCTTGAAGTGCATCATTTGCACAATTATGGAAATAATCCACAGCATATAACTTGAGTCATCTGTTTTCCAAACACTCTGTTAATACTGGGTTTTTTTAGAGACACTGGATGAAATGGTTCTATAGACCCTCCTAACTCTAATTCTCTCTCTTGTCTGGTACAGTCATGGTCACACAGGTTTGTGCCTACTGAATTCTGTGTGATCGAGTATAATATTACTGATCTCTTATGCTTTTTTTTTCCCCTCCAAGGAGCATCAGAAAGCCTGGGCAATGAATCTTAATGGTTTTGATGTAGAAGAGGCAAAAATCCTGCGACTCAGTGGGAAACCTCAGAATGCCCCTGAAGGTAAGTCTGCATTGGGTTTATTCAGCACAGGGTAAATTGAAACATGAAGTGCATTGCATGGTGGATTTCAAAACGCATCCCTTGTGGGTGAAACTGCCTACCAATAATAGCTAGCTTCTAAACTGGTATTGCAGCAGTGATACATAATCTAGTTCATTCAGATTGATTCAATTGATCTGCTGTGCTTGCATTTTAAATGGGAATTAGTCTAGGCAATCCTTGACTAATGCTCAGTTAGCACGCTGACATATATAGGCTTCTTATAGGCTTGTTTATCTTTTGTTTCAAGTGGCCATTTAGAACCACACTGGAAAAGGCAGCATTTTTGCACTTTCTGAATAACAACGATGTTAACTTGGATTAGTTTGTGTTCAGCTTTTTTTTTAAAAAAAAAAAAGCAAAACAAAACTTGACTTTCTCAATGCAATTCTAACATGTCCTTGAAAGTAAGCTCTGTATTATCTATTAGTGTTCTCTAACCTACTGCCTGATGGACACATTGAGATTGATGTCTCTATTGGAAGAAATACAGCTGGTGCCCTCTAAATGAAGACTCAGTTTCCCAGAACTGCCATTGACTATGTTAGCTTGGAATTATAGGAGCAGAGTTGATCTGGGTTTGTGCTGATAATCATGTTGCCTCTTTTCTAGGTTACCAGAACAATCTCAAAGTGCTCTATAGCCAGAAGAGCACACCAGGCTCCACAAGGAAGATAAGTAGATACATAGCCTCTGTATCAGAGCGGATCCTAGATGCCCCAGACATTCGAAACGATTACTGTAAGCAGCCATGGATATGGAGTTTCATTTCAGTGAGGCTTTGTTCCAAAGTGCATAGGATGGTTATCTGCTCTGCTGTATTACAGCTTTCTTTGGAAGAATTATGCTGCATATTGTATTAGATATAGCTACCATAGATGGGCAGGAAGGGATTGTATCTTGACTTGGCTTTATTTTTCCAATGTTATTACCTTGATGGCCCTACTAAGTGTGCATTGTTCTCATTTAGATCTGAATCTAGTTGATTGGAGCTCCCTCAACTTTTTGGCCGTGGCTCTGGATAAATCAGTGTATCTGTGGAATTATGATTCCCGAGAAATAATCCAACTCATGCAGATGGAAAACCCTGATGACTACATTTCTTCTGTGTCGTGGATCAAAGAAGGAAATTACCTTGCAATTGGCACAAGTAATGCTGAGGTCCAGGTGAGGCAACTGAGGCTGTGTTTGATGACCTCTGCATATTGGCAACTTAATATTCTGGCAATGGGGCAGGGAATAAATAAATAAATCTTTTAATATTAAAGCAAGTTAAATTCTCTTTTGGAGGGAAAACTTTTAAGAGAGACCTTTGGTTTTTAAACCAATGTGGGCTTATGTTTGGGATTGGAAAACCATGACCGAGCTGATTTCTTTGATAGTCATTATGGTTGTGATTTGATTCATTTCTCATTCCTATATATCTGAGAAGAAGTAAGTTCATGACAAGTAGAACAGACTTGTGCATTTTCTCACTAGGGCTGTATTCCATGGGACAATAAAAATTAGCAAGATGGGGTATATTGACTCTTTATGTTGATTTAGTTATGGGACATCCAGCAGAAGAAGCGTCTACGAAATATGGTCAGTCATTCATCCCGTGTGAGTTCTCTAAGTTGGAATAGCTACATCCTGTCCAGGTAATAATTCCTACACAATGGATTTCAAGGGCACTGATGAGAGAAGAGGCCATGCGGCTTCTTATCATTTCTCATGGTGAAGAGAAAGAATATATATTACACTTGGCCTTCTGGTATATTTGAAATAGGAGAGTATGATAATTTTCCCTTACAGTGGATCACGGACTGGTCACATACATCACCATGACGTCCGTGTGGCAGAACACCATGTGGCAACACTTGCTGGTCATACACAAGAAGTATGTGGGCTCAAATGGGCACCTGATGGCCGTTACTTAGCCAGTGGAGGAAATGATAATCTTGTAAACATATGGTCAATTGCCCAAGGAGATAACTGGTCACCTCGTCCTGTGCAGACCTTTACACAACATCAGGGAGCTGTTAAGGTGAGCACATATCTGTAGATAGTAGACATGCCTCTATTGGTACAAAGTTCTATGCTATAAAGCTCAATTAATGGTCATTTGGGTACCCCTTTAACCAAGTTCTACAGCTTGCCATGTGGTCTGAATCCAAGACATGGTATTTTAGGTTCCCCTGGAAACTGGAATCTGTAATAATCAAACCTGGATTGTGAGTTGTGATTTTTAGAAATCTAAAATGGCAGCCACTTTAAGTTCTGACAGCACAAGCAAGTGACAATATTTTGTTAAATAGCCATGCCAAGAAACTAAAATAGCATTTTCACATAGCTTCTTAGATTACAGATAATCCTCATTTAGCGACTGCCTCATTTAGTTTGCAGTTATGTCTGACAGGAAAAGTAACTTTACAACCAGTCCTCACATTTACAACCTTCACAGGTCTGTAAAGCAAAGGGAAGCTGAAGTAAGATCTAAGTACAGTTGCAGTTTCACTTTGCAGCCACTTCGCTTAACGATTGAGTTGCCGGTCCCAATTGTGGTCACTAAATGAGGACTACCTGTAGTGTGCAAACACAGCCGGTATTTCTAACCAAAGAGAAGAGTGACAATATTACACTTTCCCCATTAGGCTGTGGCTTGGAGTCCATGGCAATCCAACGTGCTGGCTACAGGAGGTGGAACAAGCGACCGGCACATAAGGATCTGGAATGTGTGCTCTGGGACCTGCCTCAACACAGTAGATGCACAGTCCCAGGTAAGTTTGCCTAGTACATTTCAAAGGAAGGTAAGGATTATTTCAATGGTAAGTTTAATATGCTGCACCTTTTTTTAAATGAGTTTATCTCCAATCAGCTAATATTCTACTTATTGGACACTTTTTTTTCTGGTACTAATAGGTATGTGCAGTACTATGGTCTACAAACTACAAAGAAATTGTGTCTGGTCATGGCTTTGCTCAGAACCAGCTGGTAGTGTGGAAGTACCCATCCATGTCAAAGGTCACTGAGTTGAAAGGTAAGATCCATTGTGGAAATATTGCAGTTATATCACAGGTAAGGTAGTATGATGCCCATGAACATCAATGTATACCAACAAAACTCTTGGTACCTACCATTCCCTGTCTCACTTTTTGAAGATTTTTTTAATAAAAATTACAGAATACTGACATCAGCACAAATCTCAAACATATTTATTTACAAAATTGCCCTTGAGCCCAACAAATGTCCCATGGGGGTATTAAGCATGTTGAGGGCTATTTTCTCCTCTGGTAAATGGATGTTTTAGAGCTGGTTATGTTCACTGTAGCAGCTGTTTTATAAACAGGCAAATCTCTTATTTCCAGTATGCTCCTAAAATTTCAAATGTGCCAGTGGCCAAAATGGTTGCATATCCTAGGTTAGATTAATTTAACCTACAGGTTATGGTGCTCTGTCCCACAAAGAGAAAGTGCTGTGCTTACTTGAATATATTACGAACTATCATTTACAGTCATTTGTAAAATATCTTTCTGTAGGTCACACTGCTAGAGTGCTGAGCTTGACCATGAGTCCAGATGGAACCACAGTTGCTTCAGCAGCAGCAGATGAAACACTGAGGCTTTGGCGCTGCTTTGAGTTGGATCCAGCACGTAAGAAGGAGAAAGAGAGCAGCACTAAAACCAGCATCATCCACCAAGGAATTCGTTGAGTTTCATCTAGTTCCCTCCCAATCTATTGCTTTATGTACAGTATTTTAAACTACTAATAAATATTACACTCTCCTCTAGAAATAGTGTTGGTATATGGATTGATATATGAATCACAAAATGGTGTGCCATTTAATTGATTCTGGCTGTTTGCTAGGACTTGGCCTGTATACCATTGTAATAAAAATTAACTATTAAAGGAAAATTAAGACCAGACTGTTCCTCCTGAATCCAATTATAGCCAGCCTCCAACTGGTAAGAATTTGCTCCTTTTCTAAATCACTGTGAGAGCTTTATCACTAGGCAAATTGTCTTAGTATGGTCTTTTCCTGGCTTTCAAGAAACAAATCAGCTTCCCTCTTCCAGCCCTCTTGAGTTGTGGGACAGATCAGGTACCAGAACTGAAAGTTAACCTGGAATATTAGTTTGGGATCTGAACTATGTTTTCAAGTCATGATTTAAGCTACCATCCTGCCCCCACACATCAGATGCAGAACCTGATTGAACCGTTCATTAAGGTGTCAACTTTAAGGTGCAACATCCTGTTATGGAACAAATGTTCTAAGTATTTCCCAAAACATAACTGAGAATTTTGTCTTGCCAACCATTGTTGCCTTACCAGATAGACATTGCAAATTTGCTGTTAACTTGCCTAACTGAACTTGGTGATTTTACTGAACCATGGAAACTAATATTTAAGACTCTGTTCTTCCAAAACTATTTTGTTTGAACTCAGCCTCAGCAGTCTTGGAATAGCTGCTCAACTATCCTGATAGATAATCCTTCTATTCCTTTGCTTATTTCTTGCACTTCTTTTAAACTCAAGGCATTCTAATATCCCAAACATGTCGGTGAGACTATCCCTCCTATGTTTTTCCCCCCACTCCATCAAAGCAACTGTAACCCAAATTCTCCTATAAATGCAATTCTGTATTTCTTCAGGCTGGATCATTCTGATTTTAGCTCACCTTTATCAAGAATTTACTGCCTTCTGATTCAGTGGAAGTTGTGAAAAGCCAAGCCCAGTCTTAGCCTCATCTCAACTTTGCCAAGTGCAGTAGAGCTTTTCTATAATTTTGGAGAATTGTGCAAGAACAAGATGAACATGATCTGCAATAGTCACTCATTGCTTCCTTATGCATAACTCTTGTTCCTTTATCTACCTTTCGGGTTTCTTGAGTCCTGTTAAGGACTATCTGCCTGGTACCACTTTAGTTCTAAGTCCTGATCAAGTGAAAGTATAGTAGCTAACATCTCAGCTTTACTACCTAGGGGCCAAATCATCAGGAAATAAATTACTCTCCAGGCATTACAATAAACCTAGTTTACTACAATCCTATATATTAGAGGCCAGCTTAAAAGTTATCTGTTTAAGTACTCAGGATGTGTTCAATTAATTCAAAATGCTAGGATGGGACATCTTTGTCTATATCTTCTAGTATAAATATTAACATGTTTTATAACAAATGTCAATAATGTGTGTACAATTCAGCTATGAATTCATGCTGTAATTTCCTATACTTACATGGGGAGACACTAATTTGTTAGATTTGGTTCAATAATGCTTAAAAGGGAAAATAGCATTCTCCTGATGTGAGAACTCTACTTCCACCAAATAGTGGTTTCATTACCACCCTGAAGGGTGGCACCACAATGAGTAGGTCATATGCAAGTATGGATGCTTTTGGCTTTGGAGAAAAAGAGATGCCACTTACCAGTCCTTCAGCTTAAGAATTCTGTCTCCTGGGTAGAGCAGAGTACTAATCTTTGGAATTAGTGTCTGACAGTCAAGTAGAAAAAATATAGTAAGCAAAATACTTAGCCAAATTGTAATATTTATTTTCATTCTTTAATCTATTTTATTCACACATTTAGAATATACCTTACTGTGTTTTGTCTATTTTGTGAAATGCTGGTGTTATATAAATGGAAAGCATTCTTTGGTTGACAGATACTGTTCATAAAAAAACACAAATATCTGTTGTGTATTTGGTCAATGTTAGTTATAACCATTATTTTTAACTTATTGCCACAACATGTTCATGTGTGTGATGAAATGTGTTTACAAAGGGGGAGGTGATGTGATGGACCACAGTAATGTAGCAATACAGCAATGTAGTAATACAGCAGGTTCTCAGGAAGGAGGGAGTACATTCCAGGAAGTGGGGGGGTGAGACAAGAGACAACACACTGGAACTGGGAAGAGGAAGAGTTTTAGGATGGCCACTCCCTAGAATCTCCCAAGGTATATCCACTATGTTAGAGTAATACAGATTTAGTCTGGCAAGATTCTTTCTATATGGTGTAAGTAATAGAACTGAAATTGGCTGGACTGGTTTTCTGTCATTCTTGGGCTAGGCCTGACAATATACAAATTATTGTCTGATTTCTTTGCAAAATTTTGACAACTCTGGAAAATAGATTGTCTTCAATAGTTTATCCTACAGTCTGGTTTTATTAAAGGGTACCAAGTATCCAACAATATGACTATTAGTGGATATATTCTATGATTAGATTTTCAAAATTAAGTTGTGTCCCACATTCTGGCTTGCTGAAAATTTGAAGGGTAGAGTTATGATCAAAGATTCATGTATTTACTTTAAATACAGTGGATAAAGATTCTTCTAACACTATCAGCTTTGCTATGCTGCTATTCAGGTTAGATAAATTGGGTCAACATTTCAGCTACTGAGAGCCAGTTTTATGCAGTGGTTAAGGCACCAGCCTAGAAAGTAGGAGACAGTGAATTTTAGTCCCACTTCAGCCATGAAGCCAGCTGGATGACCTTGGGCCAGTCATCCTAGAAATTAGGCAATGGCAAACCACATCTGAAAATTGGACTTCTGGGGGAGGGATGGAGAACTGAAGACATCTCTGCAAAGGCAGAGCTGATGACCACAGCAAAGGCTAAAGAACCAGTGAGTAGATTGGTTCTTTGGAACTCTTCAGATAAGGAGAGGACAGGAGATTGCCCACATGTGCTCCAGACAGCGGCTCCTCGCAAGAAGACCGCAAGACAGCGGTCTTCCATGGATTTGAGCACCAGGTGACGAAGAGATCAGCCATCTTGCTCGCAACTATGGTGGAGCCTTTTAAAGGACACTAACTTCACAAGCCTCACTTTCTAATTACTTTCGGAAATTAACCTGTTAACCATCTTAAAGCTATTAGAGACCTTCAGAACAACAAGTTTGAAATGTCGCTGGGTGAGTTTAGCTTCAACTCTGAACAAAGGAAAAATTGATTACAAGCTTAAGAACTTAAAGAATTTGAAATAGCAAGAAGCTAAACATTTTTTTTTAATCTAAGAAAGTTACAAATGGATTAAGGGTCCAGTTAAATTTGGAATATAGGACTTTTACTATAAAATTTTGGAATTAAGAAAAATTAAACAGCTTCTCAGGGGAACCAGAGTTATTTTGGCTATCTTGGTTCATAACAAAGATAAGCGACTTTATGATTTTAGAAACTGGATACTAGAGAGGACTAAAGATTCTAAGTAGAAGGGGGGGAAAAAATAAGCCAGCTTTTGGTGTTGGTTAACTGGGACTTACAAAACGACACAAAACATCATAAAATTGGAAATATTAAATAATAAAATATTAAAGGAGATCTTTGAAGAATGGAACCAGAAATTAGTAGCTACAATATCAACAGTGTCAGTAACAATGTCTGATTCTATGGATAGATATGTCCAAAATATATCAATCAGGGAATGACAGATGTGGAGCAAATTTTGTCTGATAAGACAGAGAAAGTAGGGCAAATAAAAGAAAGTACTGAAAATGGAACTACAAATGACAAACCAAGAGAATGACCTGGAAAATGTTTTCTTATTGGATCTACAAAAGAGTCTTGTTAAACCCTTGAAGAAGTTTGTACAATGGGATAAAGAATAATTGAAGAGAAATCAGATCTTACAATATTTGAATGAACTAAAGATTAAGACAGAAGTAAAAGGAAGAAATATAAAGCTGGTTTATTTGATTAAGGTTAAAACAAGACATTTATTCACAAAGTTCTGGTAACCTTTTATGGACTTTTTGCTAACACCAGGATTGAAAAGTTGATGTTTTATGGATTTGCTTATAGATAAGGGATGCAATATGGGATGAAGAGAAATCTGTTTGTAACCTTATAGGGAGTGAAGAATTACTAAATTTGTCTATACTTGTAATGAAGGTTGGAAATAACTTCTTTATATATATTTTTTTCTTTTTTCATATTTTCTTTTTTCTTTTCTTTCTTGCACTTTTTATTCTTTCTTACTATTCTTTTTCTTTAATTTGTATTAGTTTTTACTATTGTAATAAAAATCCTTAATAGAAAATTATATAGTGACGAAAATCTTGCCAAAAAAATTGCAGTGACTTGTCCAGGCAGTTGCCAGGAGTCAACACTATCCTGAAGACACAAACCCACACACAAAATCAACTACTAAAATATCTTTCCTTGCATTCGCTGTCCAAAATAGAGTATTTTATACATCCTTTTCTTTCTCTTTCTATAGTACTCTTGTTGCAGAAGATACAAAGAAAATAGGGACAGAATATGTTGGTATATGCTAATTACCACATTTGACTCCAGCTTCTTGAATTCTGGCTGTTCTACATTTGAACCATTTTGCTTTTTTGATTTGTGCAACTGATAAGAACATTCTTAATTTACATAGGGTGAACTGTAGCCTACTACTAGAGACTATAATATTTATGACTTTGTCACTGTAACTGAATTTGAGCTACATTATATAATTAGCAAATTAGGGGTACAACTCACAAAACTTTATTGGTATTGGAAAGTTCACAGCAGCTATGTACATACCTCATCTCTATCAATCTTTTAAACTTATTATTAGCTGTCAAAGGCAAGTTATTGAAGTAAAATACTATGCAACTGTGACCTGAAGTGCCCTTACTGGAATACTGGCATAAAGATCTCACTACCTTCCTTAAAATCAGAGCATCAATTATTTCAATTTAGTCTGAATTGGTAAAGAAGAATTGTATATCTTATTGCAAATATTACACTAGTTAAGTTCGCGGGGGAGAAAAACACTTCATTTAAATATCAAGCAAAAATATATAAAGCAAATAGAGCTAGAGTCACATCTACGATAATGTAAGGTCTTATTATAAGAGTTAACATAACAGAACATGGGAAAAACTCCAACCACTTTGTTCTGATTATGATTTGCAGAAAAAAGCTACTTTTTGCACCTACTGTTAAGCAAGAAGTATGCAGGCAAATGGAACACTCACACTTTAGAATACAAAGGTAATGCTCTTGCAATTTCTCATCCGAGATGGTGTTGCTATTAAGAAATCAAAATGACATCAGTAGACGTTTTTGGACAATTACCATTTTGGCAGACACTGGTCTGCAAACAAAATCTGTAGTGTCACTATTTTGACAATTTGTTAGGAATCGGGCAGTGTTCAAATTTAATGAATAATAATAAAAAGATGCAGTAAGATTATAATTCCGGTTACATGAATGAAGTACATTTTTAATAAAGCTTCAGGATTTGGTCCTTCAGTTCATCAGTAGGGCAAATAAAGCATTAATATAGTTTCAAGCTTATTTTAAAGTGTAGCCTATTATAGATACTTTATGAAATCTATCCGTGGTTGTAACTGAGTGAAGCTGCTTGTGCCCAAGGAGATGTTAATACTTCTCTTCCCACATGCGATAGAGTTCTTCTTTGGATTTCATATTTCAAAAAAGCTAGTCCTGTAGCAACCTAATGGAGACTATATTGAAGCTTTATTAACTAGTCTAAGCAGGAAATTATGATGCCTAGTCATTCACAAAGCTGAAGATAATCACACTCCAAAGTTAGAGCAGTTAACTGTACATCCTATTCAGAAGGCGCATGGCTATTCAAAAATGCATCACATCGGAAAGACATTGGGGCAACATAATTTGACTGACAGTACTAAAGTCAGCACTTGTAAAACATGCTGAAAAAATCGATACTGTCTATGAGGGCCTGCTTGTTAGAATTCATGAGAACCAATGATTCTTAGAAGAGAAAATTACTTCAGGTTTACAAGAGAGGGCATTTTAGAATGGGTAAGCTATACTGCCTAATTTGGGAACAGTGTCACATATTGATTTTTCATCACCCTTGCAAGATTGATCTTCAAATACTGATCCATTTAAGAACGGCAAAAAATCTTGAGAGCAAGCACACGCATAGGAGAACAAACAAGCATATTTTACTTTTTTCCAAATGGTCCCCTAAGTACCCCCTACATTGTAAAAGCTTCTCAGTCAAACATTGTATCAATTTTAAAGGTTGCCATTAGCATTAGTTTAGGGTTTCTCAGACACAGGTGGGGAAACAGTACACAGCAGGATAATCAGTGGTAGGAAAGATATTAAGTAGTGTTACAAAACCTATTTCAACCTAACAATGAACTTAGCTTAAAGGCTTTTAAACAAGATTACCTTATTTGAGAATGGGCAGTGAATATATCAAAATATTCTGGGTTATACAAATCTCTCCAATTGTATATACAGCATAGTTTATGGCACATAATCTAGACTCTGGGTTAGTCTACCCCTAGCACTGAGGTAGAGAGACCACTACAAATTTATTCTAACAACAAAAAAGGTATTCTTTAATGCCTTAGCTTATTATATTCACCAATATATCCTTGCTGTCATACTTTGGCACTCTGAGCATAGAATGCAGTACAGCTCTAGTATCTGCTACTAAGGTTACTTTTCCAATATATTCTATTGCAGGATTATTTTGTATGCCACACAGTACTTGCAGCTTTTCCACTTATCACACTCAGCCAGATCATAGGCAATAGCACCAAGGAATACAGGTCTCTTCAAGCTCAGGAGGATAATGCCCAGCAGTTGGAGCTTCAGCAAGAATACAAGCCAGTGCAAACAGAAAAGCATCTGGCCTGAAAGAGTTTCCATGTAAGGAGAGAAAGGAATAAACATTCTCTTGCCTGGAGCAGCAGAGAGGACAAGCAGGAGCTTAGGATATAAAAGCTGTATTGAACTTTGAGTGAAGCTATTCTACAGACACAGAAAACTAGTAAAAATTTAATTTGCAATTCCTGTGTTCTTGAGCAGAAGTAATCTGAGGCCTGACACCATACGCTGTGGATGAGCCAGAACGTAGCCACCACTCCACTATAATGCTTCACAGGAATTTGATCTCAGATTTTCAGCTCCTCTTATCCAGTAAATCGACCTCAA